CCAAAGTTCATCGTACGGTCAAATTTTTTTTCTACAAAACGGAATGATCTAAAATTTGGAGCGTGTGTTCATAAAAAATAGTCGAATCTATGAAAAATATTAAAAAAAAATTTACATAAAATAAATTGACCAAAATACCTCCTAAGCGTTTCAAAGGTATTTTGGTCAAATATTTTTTTGTGAATTATTTTTTTATATATTTTTATTAGGTGCACCTCACTAAGATATACACATGCTCCAAATTTTAGATCATTTTGATTTGTAGAAAAAAAAAATGAAAAATGAAACACGACCAAACAATCGTGACCGTCCGATGAATTTTGGATGGTGATAAGGGTCGACGAAATCACTGTTCATTTTCGCCTATAGGCGTTGGGAAGACTTTTCCATATATATATAACATATAGTATATAAATATCATATAATATGTATTATATATATAATATATTATATAATACAATTACATTAATCAAATAAATATAAATACATGATACATATAATAAAATATAATATAATACAAATTATATTATATATATAATTTATGGGTGCGGTTTGTATAGAGCCTAGGCTCTAAACAATCAAATTAGAGCCTACCTTCAAATAGTGTTGAGAATGTGGTTTCAATATTAGAAATCTTTATCATAGACTTAAAATATACTTTATATTTATTTATAAAGTTTAAAGCTTAAAAAATAGAGAAATTATCGCTAATATACCCATATTTTTAGGAAATTAGAAAAAAAAAAACCCAACTTCCCAAAACCTCACCCATTCTTTTTTTCCCCATTTTCGTGAAATTTTGGACAAAACTACCCTTTTACGGTAATCTTTGTACCGTAAAAAGCATTTGAAGAATTATATTTTTACGTATCAATAATGGGTGAGAATAAAGTGAAAATCGTTTTACACTTTGGTAGATTTTTCAAAAGGAAACCTAATGGAAGTATTTTTTATGATGGTGGCGATGTAAAGGTTATATTTTTTAAGGGGATCCCATTATTTGAATAAGTCAAAGATCACTTGTCAAAAATATCAAATTATGCCTCAAGTACCATGACTATTAGGTATATTGACCCAGGGTTATCAAGTAATATGATACGTATTGATGATAATGACGACATTGCCAGTATAATAGAAGAGGCTTCTCCCATTGCTATGTACGTATCAAACAGACCTATTGAGTCTAACTATAGTGAATATTAACCACCAACAATGCTTGATATTGGTCCATCTGACTGCACTGAATATCGACCACCAACACATCATGAACACTTTTGTCGTATTGGCAGTTTTTTCGGTCTACGTTAGTAATTGCAACTCTGTATTAGAGCTGCTCTCCTCCCGTTTTGTAACACGATGACGCAATTGTCATCTGCGCTCCTCTGGTTGAATTGGTGTGGGATGGGTTGTGTATTACTTGGCCCCTCATCTATGCCATATTGACACGTTGTCATCCATCTCTTCATCTAGCTCCAATTCTTCAGATACTTATTCTCCTGCAACGTACATATCAATTTCATCTCTAAGCTCATCTCCCCAGTTGTCATATTTCTTCCCCTTTCTCTTCCTCCTCTCCCATTATAAGGGGTCTGCTGGTATCCCTTGGTGACGTCCAAATTGCCGGAGCACATGATCTAGCATATACCCCTCACAGATGTATCGACATATAAGATATGTACGACACAAAGCAATCTCACGGACACGAAGCCCATAATATATATTCTCTACACTTTCCTCTCCTATGTTAGGATAATTGTCGTATGGGGTCCATATGACCTATGACATAAATAAACAAATTTAATTATAAACATCACAAATTATAACATCACAAATTTATCTATACTAACATCACCTAAAATTAAATAAATTATAAATAAACAAAACAAATTATAACTATACTATACTAACATCATTTATCCGCATATTATCAAGCTCCCGTCGCCCCATCAGACCGAAGTTGTGAGTGTTATCCCATTCTCTAAGAAGGACCCACCTGAAGGATCTAGGTTACCCTGCCTTTATTTCTTTTGGAATTGGGCACAACAATTTGAAATGCTCGTACACCCAATACTGAAATATAGGTATAAAAAAATGAGAATCAGAATAGGAAATATCTATCGAACTTTATAAAAAGTATCAAAACACTAATGTACTACAATTACCAGCAAAATAATGGCTGGTGTACTTAAGTGTTGATGATCATCATGAACAACCTTTGACAAGGCTCGAAACAAAAATGATAAAGTAGCTGCACTCCATGCATATTGACCAGCTACGTTGATATCCTCAAAAAATTGTAAGTAGATTATAGGAACTGTACCATCTGTGAAATCTGCAAATATTGTGCACCTGACTAGATAAAAGAGGTAGGCACCAGTGTATCGTAGAAGAGTAGTGCGATTATAGTTCTGTGGTATCTGCCTAAACCTGTTCCTCAACCATGTTAGTCGGATAAAAGAATGACTATGACCAGATGGCAACTGTCCTATCATGCGAACTATATGTTCCTCGTAGTTCTCCACTCTCCTCACGATTACAACTACACCAGTCGCCTTTAACCGAAGAACTTTCCATCTATCTTCAAGTGTAGGCATCATCTCTACGATGTCTACATTGAAGTGCCCCGTGTTCGTCTCTACGTGTAACCTCTCGATGATTGTAGATAATGTGCCGCAGTTATGCCGATTCATCGATACTATATTCAGAGGATACAATCCTGATCTCCTGACCAAATCAATTTGGTCGTTGTTTGTATACAGCCATGCATCATTCGCATTAGGCTTCTCATTAATCCTAAGGATATTTTTCCGATGCTGAAATAGAATTTGTCATTTTAGATACTTAAAAAAAAAAAAAAGATTAACTAACATGATAGACAAAGAATACAATTTTAAATATTTCTACTTACATCTCCTTCCCATATCTTCTGTGATATATGTTCTCTTTATCTAGTGAGCAATGAAGGAATCTCAAGACCTCAAGGGAAGGGTGCATCTTTTGTTATGATCACTGTTCAAAAAACTATCATACATCAAAAACCTTTGTAAATGAAAAAGAAAAAAACTATTCATTAATAAATATTTTCATAGTAAATGACACAATAGTATGATATTTAAATGTTCTAGCAAGTATTCCTTAAGTCCCTGATGATTTTGGTACCAATATTTAAAACTACTATAATTGAAACTTACCAATATTTAAAACTACTATAACTGAAACTTACACTCCATTCCAAACATGCATAAGTTATTTTACTTAAAACATGTCTAACTTGGTGTACATTGATATCACAAGCAAAATGAAACAAATCACTAAAAAATGACCAGCAAGATGCATTAGCGGTTAATATCTACAACTTACATATTTCATATACTAAGCAATATGGACAAAGTTCAATGACAACATAATGACATAATGGCATGTGTTGCTAATTCTACTTAAAAAAGCATGCCTAACTTGGTGTACATTTATGTCAATTCTATTTAAAAAATGCCTAACTTGGTGTCATTGACATATGCTAGCTTAGGTTGCACAAAATGCAGGGAAGGATTAGCCAATAAGGGAATGAACTCATTTTTCATCCAACGCCTATGATACCATCACACAAGCTTGAACAATATTTAGTTTCAAAACAAATATCAGAAGTCAGCCATCACACAAGAACAATATTTAGATTCAAAACAAATATCAGAAGTCAGCCATCACACAAGCTTGAACAATATTTAGTTTCAAATCAAATGTTACACTTTTCTTGATAATAAAGCCCTTTCTTGATAATAAAGCCCAAGTTTGTGTTGAGAGCTGATTCTCCAAATATAATTAATATTAGAATCGCTACTACATTGAGATATAGACATTGATGTTTTTCACTCCTTACAAATATCAGTTGACAAAGATTTCGGAACATTTCGAGAAAGATTAATGTGATCGATTTTTATTGTCTTATTGTCATCAACATATGCTAACTTAGGTTGCACAAAATGCAAGGATGGATTATCAAATAAGGTAATGAACTCATTTTTCATCCAAAATACAGGATATCATCACACAAGCTTGAACAATATTTACTTTCAAATCAAATATGAGAAGATGCTATCACACAAGCTTGAACAAGCTGGAACAATATTTAGTTTCAAAATTTTTGTTTTTGGATCGAACTCAGGTTTTTTGAGCAGCAACCTTTTGGGTGGATATCAACCCATAATATTTCATTTTTTGAACAAATTGAAACATGAATCTGATAACTACTTCGATTATCTATCAAACCCACCAAATTCCTTCAAGAAACGTTAGGGGGTGAAGAAATTACTGAAAGAATGGCAGAAATTATCAAAAACCTAAATACTACACCATTTTAATCCAAGAAATTAATCACAGATATTGGAAATCACAGATTTGTTGAATTGAAAAGAGAAAACAACGATGTTGGAATTCTACATGCTCTAAAATTAACATTGTACAATTGGGGTTTATAAATCCAACAATAACTATTTCTTACCTGAAATTATGAGGGAGAGATTGATGAAGATGGAGAACACCGCAACAACCTTCTAAAGGCAGAATGAAGACCGTAATCTTGGGTTGTTTTGGATGAAGATCGTAATCTTGGGTTCTTTTGGGTTAGGGTTTATACGGCTGAAAAAGGGCAGTATTACGGTACTACGAGTACCGTAATACATTTTAAAAGTTACTATAAGGTGTATTACAGTACCCATAGTATCGTAAAAAGCTTTTGAAGAATTACGGTACCAATAGTACTGTAATATATTGCGAGAACAATACGATACGCATAGTACTGTAAATTAAAATTACGGTGTTTTTAATACCGTAATTCTTATTACGGTATAAAGACTACTGTAAAGGGTAGTTTTGTCCAAAATTTTATGAAAATGGGAGAAAACGGTGTGGGTGAGGTTTTGGGAAGTTGGGGTTTTTCTTTCAATTTCCTAAAAATATAGGTATATTAGCGATAATTTCTCTAAAAAATAGTGTAGATCTATGAAAACTTGAAAATCTTAAAAATTGATGGTCCAAAAATGCATTACAAAATACACTATTTCTAAAACTTGAAATCTATTTTTTTCATGTGCATACATCTTGATGTCGAGATGATCAATTTGAAGATATTTGGGCATCAAAACAACCTCTTATAGTGAAATTTTTGTGGTAGGCTCAAATTTGATTGTTTAGAACCTCGGTTCTAAATAAATTTTTCCCATAATTTATACTATTATACATTTGTAATATATATTTATGTATTATATTGTTACATACATTCTATAATATTATATATGTATGTATTTATATGATATGCATAATATATTTCTGTATTATACTATAATATTGTATATTTCCTCTAATGTTATATAATATATACTATAACAAAATATAAAATAATATATTATTTATATAAAATGTTATTTATATTAATTATTATTGCAATATAATTTATATAATAAGTATACAATGGTAATCTATAAAGTATTACAAAATATTATAATAATCCATGGATTCACATATTCCAGGCAATTGAAACAGTGGATATGCATATTCCATGTTTCTTATCAGGTGCTATCCAAACAGTAAACACCCCTATCTTAGGGATAGACCAATTCTAGGATAACCCAATTCCAGGAAAAGCCTATTTTTAAGACATACTTCTTCAGGTACCCAAACGGCCCTAGGTGAAAAGGGAGAAAAGAGAGAGAAGGGTCAATTGTTTGCTATCTTACATAGGCACAAATACACTTATTCATTTGCGACACAAATGCTTACAAACATTAACCCCATAAAAATGTATCCAGACATGTTATACATGTATAATATGAAATAGTATAGAATGAGACCATTTACCTTTAGTAAAAAGTGATCACAATTAATTTTGATCAATAGATGTAAAATGGGGTGGCTGCATTTGTTTCATTGACCAAACACAAACTTCAAAATAAATTTTATCGAACTTTTGTGATACACTAAAGCTATCAAATTCATATATGATGGTTATAAGTAATTGTGACCACCTTGTACGAAAAGAAAATAGTCTCATTATATACAATTCCATATAATTAACATCTATGTCATCTATGTTCTCCTACCATTCATATGTCATAACAATGGTGAAGCACTGAAAACCTAAGTTAAATAATAAACCATGAATTCCTAAGTTTTAAATCGTTAAGAAGTTTTTATAGTTCAATCCAATGTTGCATCATAAAAATATGCAAAACTTCCCAAAATTACAAGTTTTGGCACTTCAGCTTACAAACGGATCTCTAAATCAGAAAAGAAAAAAAAAAAAAAACAAACTTGATGTCCCAAATCATTAATATTTTGGAATATTGGAAAAGCTTTTTTGGTTCCTCAGATGATATTAGCATAAACTTCCTTAATAAAAAAAGAAAAAGAAACAAGAAGTGAATAACGGACTTTTCCAACATGATATATTAATATGCTCTCCATGAGCACGATTTAGTAGTATAGACAACCTCTCAATAAAAATCACCTTTGTACAATAGTAGGTCCATAAAAGGACACAGTTTCTATAGGTCCTAGGGACTCATATGCAGAAATGAGTTCCCTCTTTTAAAATCTATTTCTGAATATATAATCTCTAACATGGATATCGAGAATATGTAAAAAGATTAATAATAAAAAATTAAAATTTAAAATGATAATTTTATGAAAAAAATATCTAAGTTACCATTAATTTTAACTTTTTTTGGAGGGACCACCCACTTGGATCCATCTTTAAGTTAGGAGTTATTCACATACGGACTCGAAATCAATAGGAAAATGCCAAAACCTCTATTTTTTCACAAATATTATGTAGAATGTCCGTTGACTCGTGTACCTTTTTTTCCCTCAAATCGTCCCTCGTTCGATGTTACCAACATCGCATCAATATAAAATTCTTTTCTAAATTTTTTTTTCATGAGGTTGTGGCTAATCCAACGGGACAATAAAGTTAAAGGTGTCTTGCTTGTGAAAGGAAAATATATATTGTCAATCAAGTTAATATAGAAGGTTCTTATTGTAATTGATGTATATGGAAAAGGTAGATACAATATCTTGTATTTTTTGGTAAATCAAGATATAGTATAGGAAGCTGTGTTTTATTTATATATTTTCTATCTATTTAACACAAGTATGTACATTCATATCAATTAATGGACACTGAGTTACTCAATTATTCTTTGATCTTATCCTATCCGATTGAACCAAGAAATCACCATCTGAAAGCAATCTGAATATGCGACCGCCTCTTTTTTTATTTTTTGAATCCATCTTCTCTCAGTGATTTTTGGTAGTTTTTTTTTTTCTCTTGCTAGCATCCCAACCTTTTTTTTAATTTTTCTGGCCATCTGTAATATCTCTATGGGTTAAAGGGGACACAAAGGTGCTGAGATCTAACTTGTATAAGGATGTGGAAGAAGGAAAGCTTATGTATTTGAAAGGATAGGGGTGCAGTTCCACAATATTTGGTTGGGGATAATGCTTATCCTTTGCTCCATGGTTAATGATTCCTTACACATAACCTGTGCCTTCTTCTTGCGAAGAAGATTTCAATGCCATCCATGAGGAGGCCAGCTCTGCGAACTTCTGGCTAACCCCATTGATGAAGAGTTCAATATGGGGATCGCTCTGTGCAATTCTTCACAATGTGCTTCTTATGAGGGAAGACTACACTTCCCTTCCGGATGATTACTCATTGCATGACCAGAACGCGCACTATTTTAGGGATGGCATTGAGGAGTGTTTTATTGAGAGAAAAGCATCAGTTGTTCGCACTTCTCTTGGCGAACCTTTTGTTATC